GCTGATAATCACTGAACTTCTAAGCTGTATGCAACTGAGAATTATTCATGAAATAAGATGGTATCATTGTATTTTTACCTTCTAGCTTTGTTCAAATATATCATAGCACCTAAATAGGTGGAATAAAGAAACTACTGAATACTAAAAACATCAGATAATTTTTTGTCCTAGCCTTAATAATAATTCATCATACACTGTCAGTTTTTTCGGAATTGATCCTCAGCATTCTTGGTAATACAGTAAGTTGAACTTGGATAGATACTCACTGATAGTGATTTTAGAAGTGTACAGAAGTATTTTTGTCATGGACAACTGAATCATTTTGTTGAAGAATGTTATTCATTTTTCTTTGGCTTTCAATGGTTTTTTTCTGATCAATATAAGAATAATTCCTATTTCCAATTTAAAGACAGTGTAAAACTGTTGTTGCTTAGGTGAAGTATGGTTTACTTGATATGTATGAAGGTTGCACTATTCGAATAAATATGCGAAGCACTTACGAAATGCAGTTACAGTGAATTAATAGCACATTTGGGGCAATAGCAGAGTAAAAAAACTTACGAGGAAACAGATATTTAGGGAAAAAACCTTTCCCATGAACCTGTTAACTATACAACTTATAGGTCATATAAGTTGTTTTTGATAAAAACTAGTTCTTTAACCGTATTAGCAGTAACAGTAAATTCCTTTGATCCAGTTTCCTTTTAAGATTCTCTTTCGTATGCTTTATGGAATACTGATGTACCGTTTACTATTTTGTGTTTGCAATAAGATAAAGGCTTTGTTACAGTTTCACCCATGATTCTTTTTTTTTACATAAAGAAGAAATTTATTAGCTACTAAGGTGGATAGTTGAAAGCATAGTCGTTCAAAGCTGTGGGTTATTTCCCCAGCTTTTTGATGAATAACGATACACCTAAGGGGTAACTGAAATGTAAAGTGGATTTAATTCATAGACATTTTTAAGATTCAATTAATTAGAATCTAGGTATTCTTTTATTTCTTTGCAAAGCAAAAGTAATGTATTCTCACTGAGAGATCATGTATACTCAGCAATCTAAATACCTAAAGTAAGCTTTACTGGTTGTACTCTATATGCATATAGACCACTCACTATCAGAATTCGGTTTAGTGACTTCTGTGTTGTTTGATTGTTCATAAACTCCCGGCAAACTGTTTCGTCTTCTTATTGTTTCCTAAAAAATCATAAAACCACCATTAATTTTTGATCATTATTTTTTGAGTAGCTACTGAGTGTAAAATAGTTAGTAATTGAATTTATTACTAATAAGGTTCCAGCTTTTTCCTTATTGTTTTATTGTCGTTTACGCAATGAGCCACCTCCTTCATTTCAACAGTATCAGTGACTGAAACTCCCATTTCTCATTTATAATGAAGCAGCTTTTGGGAGTTAATTTCCTTTTAGTCAGAGATAATTGGCGTAATATTTGCCTCAGGGTAAACTGAGAACTTATATTTCATAAGATGTATTGTGGTAGATCTATAAATAAAACTTAGGAGTTGAAGTTTAACGTTTCATTAGTATTTGTTATGAAGCTATAAATGATTACTCTGAGTTATGGCTTATCATAAACAAACTCTGAACTTTTAAATCTGATAAATATAGATGTGTTATATGTATCAGATCACAAAATTTAGTATCGAGACGTTTTATAGCAGTTTACTTGAGGAAGCTATAAGTAATAACTTCTGAAACTTCTGAGAGGAAACACTAGTACTTTTTTATTTTACACTGTCACTGTTATGGGTTAGAGTGGAAATCATATCATATTGTTATTGAAATTTGCAGTTAGAAATCTGAAGAATATGATTTATGTGTCAAAAAATCGTTCTATACTTTGTATGTCATTTTTTCTCAAATTTAGAAACGATCAACGGAACAGTATTGTTGCAAGTTACACTGTCTTACTGCGTATGGCTTAATAAATATATAAATCAGTTTACAGGTATATTTTGTGAGTAGTTAGTTGTGCTCAAAAATCATTCAGATAATAATAATAGTGTATGGTTGTGTTCCGTACTGAATAAATTAGTTTGGGGGTGAGATTATATTCTGCCACAATTTTCTAGTTATAGTCTTATGTGATAATTTGTAATTTTAAAAATACTGGAAATGAATTTATAATGGTGGAGTAATTAATTACTCTACACCTTTTTTCACATCCCTGGTTGATGAAAGAGAAGTGTTCATGAATAGGCTGTCATAAACAATCGAAAAACTGGCTGAACAACTAAGAATGGGTGAAACAGCTTGAATAGAAGATTTTGCTTGAAATACTCCTGATATTTTTTTGGTCTTTGTATTTTCCAATCACTGCTAGCTTTTTTAAACCCTTAAGGTTCTTATAAAGTTAGTTTTGATGTGAGAAAAGTAATAATTAGCCTCAAATCAATTTTGTAACGAAGTACTCTAAAAAGAATATGATTTATACAGTTGATGTCAAGTTTCTAGAAAACTTTGTAAAATAATGGTCCATAGGTATTTGAAAAAATGCTTCGTGAATGAGTATCAAGGAAAGCATGAATACGAAGACCATTTTAATTACTTTATTAAGAATGAAAGGCTAATAAAGCTATCATTCGAGGTGACAATTACAGTTATTTGAGTTCGCAAAGCATTTTCCGAGAAATCAACAAAACTTGGTTTCTTTCAACTCTATATCCTTCTATTTAGTGACATAAGTATTTATGTGCAATTTAATGTAACTTTTGTGTTTCTTACAGCTCGTGATAATTAACTGAACGCTATAATTTTGACTTGAACAGGTTATCAGACATTTCTTAGATAGCAACTTATATGCCTTATATGATAAAAATATAAAATTCTCAGGACTGCATTCATCGATTTTGGCAATAACAAGTGTTATAGTCATTCTAGGTAAATGAATACTGGAAGGAATATCTCTTATAATGTGAATTAATCTTGGCTTTGAAATATTTTCATATATGAAGCATTTGGGAGATGAAGTATGCAGCCTGAATGAATTCGAGTTATCGCTTTTGGCTAGTTAACTTAAGCTAGCCATGAAGCGTCAGCAGTTATATCTAGTAATCAGTATGTGCTGGAACATTCAGGGCTGATATCTTATCCTTAAACCTTAAGTTTTAAGCTATTTAGTCCCAGTGTGTAAAACTATACCAAAACTTGGTAGGAAGGTAAGACTAGATTTAGTTGCTTTTAGAAAGCAAAATAATCAATCGTTTCCTCCAGCAACTAGCTGCTTTTATATTAAAACGTTAGAAGTCTTGATAAGTAACATGGACTTAGTACAAACATCAGTGGTTTATTAAATGAAGAAACCTAGTGACTAGAACGTGTAACAGTGAAACTAGGTAATTTAGCTTTTTTGTGTTGTCAACTGAAATATCCACAGAAATGCATGTTTAGATACTTGCCTAAGTGATTAGTGTACCTGTTTAAAATAAAACATAATCAGGTAGACATAGTAGGAAAAAAGTGACTGCTCTGTGATAAATAGTATCATCCACGGCAAATATCTGCTTTCCACAACGTAGAATGTCGTTCTAGTAATAATACCTGAAATTATTCATCAGAAAGATCGTGTTGAATAGAAAGTTTTTAGAACAAATACGACTTTTACAAGTGTGATCGCGAAAACGATGGTTTCCACATCTTTTGTGTCAGCAGAATTAAGATCATCAGTTCTGAAAATAAGATGTACTAGATAAAATTACATTCATGATAGAGAAACGTCAATTCTAATGAAAACCCACAGTTCTTAAACTATTATGAATATTCAAAGTTGTAAGCAGCTGATGAGAGCAGCCGGAATAGTAAAATGGATCTATATCATTTGATGCGATATTTTTTGTAATTTTAAAGTTAGCTAAGGGGACTTCAATGAGACTGAAACTTCCTACTTACATTTATGGAAATATCTTCAGCGAATATTCATTTCCTTATTACATAAGCAGATGGTCCTAAAGAACGTTCTATTACATCGGTGTTTCATTGGTGCGAATTGAGTTATAAAGCTGATTTATACCTGAAACCTCGCATGAGAAATGTAACAGGCATTTAACTTCTTTTGCATATATTTTCAGTTTTACCTTAATTTTTTTTGAATGGACGAAGAGCTCTTTAAAAACTTACTTATTCTGGATAGCTAAGTTCACAAAATGCTTATTAGAAACTCTTTCCGAAATCCTATATATGTATATTTAGAAAATATTTTAGCCTCGAACTAGCGTTTCGTGCTTGAGGCTACTTAGTTTCATTTGTTAGATGGTATCCCGTGGGTTGAATTTTCGGTGAATGTTTGTTACTGAATACAGACTAGAACAATTGTCATTTCGGTTTAGAGCGTCAGCTTCAAGTTTTGTTTTGTACTTCGAGAAGTAATTCAAAGATTAACAATAAATGATTTTGCAAGAATTTTAACAAACTGTGGTAGAAGATATATTCTTTGCATCTTGATGCAGAACATTAATTGGAAATAAAGACAAGTTATTTTGTTTTACAAGCTAATATTACACTTATGTTGAATTAGGTAATTATTCGATCAAAAGGGATTTCCGTTTCCCTAGTGATTTATATGTTTACATTCTTACTGATAAGCAGTACTGAAAGAAGCACTACCAAAACACTTAGCATTTATTTACATAATTAAAACAATTATCTTTGCTTGATATTTTTATTAAACTCTATAATTTTATCGAGAATATTTTCATTGAATGAGTAATCACAGACTTTAGCAATTACTTCCATGAATTGTTTGCCGGCCTTTTTAACTGCACCTTTTGACGAGATGCGAATGTATCTAGTTATTATTATTATTTTTTCAATAATGGTAGTAGCTAAGGTGGGTATGGGTTATCTTGTACCCGCTGCCACTTTTCAGAGTTGATACAATAAAATTCAGCACACAATGATTAAAATACATATAATTATGTTAACTATAAAGTTTCAGATGATTTATTTTAAAAAATTACTTATAACTTGTACAGATAAAACTTACCAGTCTTACCGATGGCACGTCATCTGCTTTGTACTCATCACCATACTTTTCTGAGGGGACTGATGAAGAATTGGATGCTAGAGGTTTTGAATGCACAAATTCACCAGTTTGTTCAGCTGTCTGATTTATTTCTGTTGTCATAGTCTATAACTAATTTATAAGGTCATTGGGTACAGTGACTGAATAAAATGATGAACTTTTATCACTGATGTGTAGTTAAATACATACTATTGATGTAAAATTGACAAAAAACTTTTGACTAAAATTGTCATTATTTTAAACTATTTCTAAAAAATTTCTCTTTGACATTTTTAGCAAACCGTTATTGAAATGTGAAAGTCAAAATGGATAACTGTTAAAAATACTTTTATACAGATATCGTCAAACTGATTTCAGTCTTTATATTGATTGGTCCGATAAGGTATCAGACTATAGGCTGACTGTTCAGCTGACTTTGTAGGAATAACCAATGTAAATTAAGGGGAAAATATATGATATAGTAAACCAATCACCGTGTAAAGACGCTTGAAGCAATTTTCATATGGTGTCAAGTGTTCTAACCGTATGTAAAGCCTTAAATTATACCATATTTTGTTGAAACAGGTAATCATTTTATAATAATTCACACATTAAAAATGAGAAGGTAATAGGTTATGAAGTCAAGCAATTTTTATAGTACCATTGACTTTTCTGACTATCTGTGGTGCCTTACTCCTATTCAGAAGAAACAAGTGAAATTTACAGACTAGCTTTTTAACAGTTTTATTATGTGGATTTTCTAACTTTGGTAGCCTATTATGAAAGTACCACTAAGTAATTTAGATCCTACGCTTCGGACACATAAAGAGAAATAAAAAAGAAGACAATTGTGTTTTTGGCGGAGTAATTCTTTCTTCACAGTTCCTTTTATTCAAATCTTGTAGTTACAGTTAAAACAAAATGACACTGATCAAAGAAGTTTTAATTAATGTAAGTAAAGCTTGAGTACTACATAAGCATAAGTTGCATAAGACCTTCAGTAATGACATTAGGACTCTAGTTGTTACTGCATACACCTATATGGAGAAAATATGGAAACGATGAGGACTGGACAGAAGAGACGGGTCTCCTTGCATGATTGTATGTAGAAGACATGTGCATGTGCATTAGAAAGATGACTGTATGATTAGTATAAGCGTAAAACTTGAGCACTGTGGTATGAAAGGAAAGAGTTAGAAAGTGAATAATAGTTTGCAGCCATCCAGAAGCATTTTGTACTCAAAAGTGGTCTTGCACTTCTTGACAAGTTGAGTCCGTTTATCAAAAGAAAAGTTGTACTGAATCTCTATCTATGCATGTCGGAAAAGTATGTCAAATTAAGTTATTTTGGATGGTTTAGTATGTTTTCAGGTATTTATTTATAAAGTTATCATTACGTGCAAAATTTCCTACTTCCGTAAGTGTTATCAACCATTCATGGTTACCTTAGTCAACCAGAGGATGAATAAAGTAGGAATAAAAGATATGTTGCTGCGAGGGCTAAGAAATGCCAGAGATCAATTAATAATGAGGATTTCTGGGAAGGCCCAAGGAAGATAGCAGTCATTTCATCCGTGGAAGGTTTTTTCTGTAGAAAATTAAGCTGAGAAAGAGATAAACGTGGCTGTGTACAAGCTAAGTATTGCATAAAACCTTGGTTAAGTTGATTTTTTCGTGGTTATCGTCAAAACTTAACCACAATTGATGTAGAGTCTTCACACATCGTTGGCTAATGTTAACTGAACCAAATATTTTCAATTGTCATATGAATGCTAAACATGATGATGAAAATCCGTCTGAAATCGGTCTGTTCCAGACAAAATCTCAGATTTTTTTACAAATTGATGCTAGTAACTTGCTTCAGATACGCCTTCAAAGTCCCCTTTGAGAAATTATAATCAGAAAGCTGAACCAAAAAGACTCAGTGCAAAAGTATTTGCCAATGATAATAAGTTATGGTCATCATACGTCACGAATCGACAGAATTTCGAAAACTTGAACCCGCGAACTGAAACACATTTGCTGAGTCCTAATGTGTTCGCTATAAGCTCTGAACGTTTTGGATTTGACGCCACATGAATTTGTTAAAATGCACCGATGAGGAGGCCAAAAACAGGATGAATGAGCCTTCCAGTGCTTTCTAGTTTTTAGCCAATGTCGATCAATCATGAAGTCTTCAAGATCAAAATGTTTCACTATCGAAGTTCATCATTTCTTATCTAATGACTAACGTCTGTTTGACTTTTATTTATTTCACGTTTTTTGCCAGGAAGCTACAGCACAATTCTTATCTGAATAATGTCTGGCCCTCACTAGATCCAGAATCATAGATCTTATCGCAACCATGACATTTTATAGAATTCCTCCTTTTCATGAATTTGATTAACGCAAGAAGAACAATGGTAGCAGAATTAACATGGATATTTTATGTGGATTCTCCTACGGCTGCTTTACCATTTATAGAATCTAATATTAACGATAAAAACATTATACGCTGTAAGTTGTAAAGCAGCTGAAGAAAATCTATGCAGAAAATGCTTATTCTGTTACTATTGCTGTTCTAGGTTTATCCAACTTCTTTACTTCTTAATACATGGATGTTTTCTTTTGATTTCCAAAACTTGCGAATCACTTCTTGTCGCTTATCGTATTTACCTGTATGACAGGATAAGTTCTTATACAATAATAAAATTGAATCGACCAATAACTGTGACATCCAATCTCATACATCCGCCTTCCTTTTATGTTTTATAAGTTGTACGAACGTCTTGACTATGCTTTCAGTTTCACCGAAGGCTAGTCTGAAATTCACCAGTTACTGACAACACCGAACATATAATCCATAAAACTTAATCTGTAAGTAAGTAAATGGTGCTTTGATTCTTTTAACATCAGAATTTTGTGTTTAATAAATAGTTGGAAAATCAAATTTTTTGAGAGCATTCCGTTTGCGAGTTTTGATGACAAACTTTGTCACAATTTACATCAAGAAGTGTTCACATTCTTCTTGGTTGTGCTGACACTCACTGGATACTTATTAGATGTAATCAGATTGAGATACTTGAAAGTTAGGGTCTCAACATTTTTTTTCACTACGATCTAAGTACTATGCACCTTGAAAACCATTATAATTCAAACGGATTTAGTTTGGGAAAGAATATTGCTTTCTAAAACTTCTTCAGAATCCACAGTTGTATGTTCATACTGTGCTATGTCTCATCAACAATAGTGAGGTTTTATGTGACAGTTTTTGAATAACACCATGCAGTTTAAAAGTTCTCTTCAAACATGTCTTATGAGAATATTACTGTCAATATCAATTATTACTGGAGTTCACTCCAAAACAGTTGATTATACAAACGATTATGCGGCTGATGTAACGCAACAGGGTGAAAGTAAATCATATGAACTTTGATGATAAAAGTTAAATGAGTTAACGTTATCGTAAGTGTTAAGAGAAATGAAATGTGTTTTTGTTGCTGTGTGTGTGTCTGCAAAGACACACAGAATTGAATTCAACAGTAGTGAATCTATGAGTCCTACTTGGCATATGAGACTGTCAATGGGTGCCAATAATCAGGCCATTGCAGCATATCAACAATAGAATACATCAAAAATTCTTATAGCTTATAACTATTGTAGCTTAGTGGCCTAATGAACAACACTTTGACGATTGAAAGGATAGTTGGTTGGCTTGAACGCCTGTGAACATCTCAACATGGATACAGGTATATCAAGCTGAAAATACTTAGACAAGAAGAAACGCAAATCCTGAGTTCTACTGGTAGACACTATCAAGAAGAACTGAAAGGACATTTTATTCTACGCGGAAATAAGTTTTGTGTTTGAACAACGTTTTCTTTCTAAGCCACTCAGATCTAACGTCTGTGTTCGGATTACTGATTAGTCATTCATGAAGGATAGCAAAGAAATGGGATAAAGCGATTATGAACTGTGTGTAGTGTGTATAGGAGTACAGCAAATATAACAACATATGCACCAACAAAAAGAGTTTTGGTCAGGATGATTCATGAAGTGTATTAAATAATTTCTTAGTGTGTACTTATATAGACGGGACGTCTTCAGTAGACGTATGATGTCTCTGTCAAGTCAAACAATACCATCACAACGTAATTCTATGCACTTCAGTACTTGTAGATGTTGTTTACTCAATGAAATTTTTGCGTGCAAACTCTTGCTCATATAAATATCTTCTTGTGTACACGAACGCTACTTCTTTGTGATATTGTGCAACCTAGTCTACTTTTTTAATGTGTATATTGCAAGAACAGTTTTATTGTCTGAGTTGGATATCTATGAACAAGAAAATTTAAGGACTTTCACCTTCTAAACAATCAAGATATTTCCATTCTATACCTAAAAGACCCACAAATTTCATTCAGTTACGGCTGCGCGGGGTGTATTTCGCATACTGTATACCTCATAATAGAATTAAAAATGTAGGTGAATATTAAGTAGGCGTTGAATTCAGAATTATTGAAACGAAAAGTGAAGTTTAAGTCAGTTTTGAAAAAAAGTAATTCTATGTTAATACGGAATATCAACTACAGTCACTTTGAATGAAGTTCGACACAGAACCTCAAGTAAGCACTGAAGGAATCTATAAGGTGGTAACAAGAAAGAAAGCCAAATTGTGAAATGTCTTCAGATGTTGTATTCCTGCAACTTACCAGGTTGGTTTGCTGAGGTTACAACAGAATAATCGTTATAACCATGATAGGCTGGTCAGGGTTATAGAATCTTCTAGACATCATCGTAGTGTGTAAAACTAGAAAGTATTTCATTCACATTGTGGGCACAAAAAGGTATTGAAGAATGGTTACTACTTCTATGCATGATTTAAATGGCCAATAAAAAGTGATAGTCTTCTGACCAATTCGCCTAATGAGAAACCCTTTCGGATTGCATAATATTTTGGAGATCAAAGCATTGAAACAATATAACAGTGGCAAATATCATCGGAAATATTGTTGTTTTGCATTTGTACATCTATGCAAATGATAAATTTATAATGACACATCATTTTTACTCCTACAGTATATGTAGGCAGTAATTTAACACTTAACTAGGAGATTATACCTAAAACCACTGAAAGTTTAAGAAAAACCTATTACTGTGTAAAAGTACACAAAATGTTAGTTCTACTTATGATCTATGTTTTTTTATATTCACTTCTAGATGAATTACATCCACTAGACAAGCAATTTACATACACTTCGGGGGTATATTTCGTCTTTGGTATCAACCATTTAATTTCTCAGTGCAGAAAATGAACTTCTCTGTAGATCATAATCCAATAACA